ATATATGAGTTTTGACAAGTTATAATAATAATATTATGTTTTGTATTTTTTAACTGTTATATTGTAAACCGTTTTAAATTATAAAATGTATTGATTATTTTTGTCAAAACTAATAAATATTGTTATTATTATTGTATTGTTTTAAAATATTAATATCTACAATTAATTATTTACTTATGATATAGGTACACAATCTATACATTAAGCTTAGAAAAAATGCTTCATTCTCCATGGACATCACAGACCACGATGGTAGTCGTCTATGGTGCTGTACCTGATGAACTTTATCCATTACTTGAGCAATACCTCTTAACAGAAGGAGGTCGAATCTTATGCTTGTGTTCTGATTTTCTTGGAACACTGCTCCCAACTGCTTTTAGTACAGCTGAAGTGTGTTCTGATGACATAGTAAGCTTCACATACCGTCCATTGTCCATGCGGACATCCCTCTTGCACCATGTTCTCTGTTACCAACCCAGCATACCTAATAATGATCATTTTCCATCTGAAAACGGGTAAAGACTTATATTAATTAATTCAATTATTAATTGAACTGCAATAATAATGTTTAAATGTTAATTTGTTAGCGTTAAAGAAGATAGAAATTTAAACGTTGTGGATATGTTTGATTCTAACAACAAGCATCATACTATTGACATCAAAGTTCTAGCTGCTGAAGATACCTGGGAAACGCCAAGTCTAATTTTAGCAACAGCACCGTCCGGAGGAAAAGTCATTTTCTCTCAAGTAATTGTTGATATTGCCTTTCTCATAAAATCCTTATAATTTATACATCATATGTATTATATATATTAATATTATTACAACTTAAGGTACATTTAGAAATCGATGCACATTTAAATGGAGAATACCGATCAACTACTGAGGATAGATATCTATTAATTAAAGATTTGTTGAGCACCCATTTGGGACTAGATTGTGTGTCGTGTGATCAAGAACCAAAACACACACCTGCTTATTTACTGGGAACTGAAAATGTGTGTGTAGTGCCTAATATATAATTTTATTGTTAATAATTCATATTCATAATTTTTTTTAATTTATAGGATAAAGTTAAATTTTTAACTTCATTAAATGGAAAAGTATCCATGAATAATGTGTTGTTACTGAAAGACTTAAAAGTTCAATTTTGTACTAAAGATGAAATGTGTATTGGAGCTAGTGAATACTCATTGCCTGTTATTTGCAATGATTTCCCAATGGACTTCAGTGAAGAAAATTATTTCAAAGTAAGCTTCATATATAATTACTACCAAGAAAATTACATATCATAACATTTTTTAATTAAAATTAATAAGACTGAGTGATATCTTGGACTGATATTTTTATTGTGTACTACCTATTTTTGAAGAAAAATGTAATTAATAATTTCAGAAAATAAATTTGACGCTATAAATTATTTTAAATTTTACCAGGCTATTTCTAATTTAACCAAGAAGCGTTTTCAATGACCCATATGTATGTAGCTAAATGTACAAATAGTTTGAATTTAATCAGTTGGAAAATTGATAGAAAAATCATGCTARCATAAAAAAAATTAATATAAGAAAATTAAAAAATGAATATTATATTATAATCTAATATCAATATTTTGATACAAAACACAAAATGTATGAACTAAGAGTCCAAAAGTTTGTTAATGCCTTTATAGTTTATGATCACACTGTAAACTGTATATGATTATTCCAAATATTTCATAGTATTTTGTTATTATATTTAAATATATAATTGAACATTTATAGAATCTCCATACTGAAGAATTAGGACGCCTAGTTATTTTTGGAGAAGTCATGTCATCTTCCATGAAGCTCTTAAACGATCCAATATCCAGGCATGGGCTTGTAGTCATTCCAAAACAACAAATTACTGGAATTGGTAAAACTATTAACTTATTTTGTACCATACATTTATTTACTTAAACAACAAAAAATAAATAAGGACCATTCATGAATATATTATTATGCATGTACCTAATCTTTTTTAATACTTTTGTATTGAAAATAAGGTTATAATTTATTTCAAATAGGTAGAGGCGGTAATAAATGGTTGAGTCCAAATGGTTGTGCCATGTTTTCTGTACAATTACACATTCCTTTTGATTCGAAACTTGGTCAGAGACTAGCATTGCTACAACATGTTGTTGCATTGTCAGTCGTGTCAGCCATATGTTCACTACCCGGTGGCTATGATGTAAATATTGAAATAATATAT